TAGAACAGAACTAGAACAGAACTAGAACAGAACTAGAACAGAACTAGAACTAGAACCGAAACTAGAACAGAACTAGAACAGAACAGAACTAGAACAGAACTAGAACAGACTAGAACAGAACTAGAACGAACTAGAACAGAACTAGAACAGAACTAGAACAGAACTAGAACAGAACTAGAACAGAACTAGAACAGAACATAGAACAGAACTAGAACAGAACTAGAACAGAACTAGAACAGAACTGAAAGAACTAGAACAGAACTAGAAACAGAACTAGACTAGAACAGAACTAGAACAGAACTAGAACAGAACTAAGAACTGAACTAGAACAGAACTAGAACAGAACTAGAACAGAACTAGAACAGAACTAGAACAGAACTAGAACTAGAACAGAACTAGAACAGAACTAGAACAGAACTAGAACAGAACTAGAACAGAACTAGAACAGAACTAGAACAGAACTACAACAGAACTAGAACAGAACTAGAACAGAACTAGCGTATTTTTGATTCTGCATCCGGCTGATAGATTGGAAATTATGTATATATTCTTCTTGTCGTTTTTTTTGTTACGAACTGTATTTAACTATTAAATTTAAGATGGATTTATAGCATTTAAATATATTTTTTAAAGTTTGCAATTTGCCGTTTGTTCTGAATGATTTATTGATTAATGTTTAAAAAAATATATATTTGTTCCATTTAAATCCTTTTCTGTCTCTAATTAGGTACAAATGTCGATATTTGAAAATATTTATTTAAACTTTTCTGTTAAATGGCAACAATAACAGATTTAAAGGCGATTTAAATGATTTATAATGTATTATGTGAAAAATGCGTATTGTAAATAATATTGTCATACATTTACTGTTCATTTGATACATGGTTTTATATTTTTGCATGAGAAAATGATTGATAGTGATAACTAATTAAATTTCATGTATATTGCCAAATAATAATGATGATTACGTTTTTCTTGCGCAATTTAATACAATATAGTTTAATTAAAAATAAATACATATAAGTAATTAATACATGATTATGTAGATGAATAATTGCGTATATGGTATCCCAGCAATAAAAATTAAAAATTTGTTGATTTGAAAACATTTGTGATTTTATGCGAATAAGTTTAACAAGAAAGCTTTAAAAGGATTAAATAAAAGCTTAAATAATCTAAATATGTCTATCATAAACCAATAATAGTTGATCGAATAAATTTTCGACCCATATTTTTCAAATCAACAACAATTTTATTTGTTGGGTTTGATAATGAAAAACCAAATTGGTGTGTGTGTGTTCTGACTGCTGATGAGCATTTATGAAAATATGTTTATCGTATATTGAACACAATAAATAAATCTAATAAATAATAGATCTAATTACAAATTTATATAATTAAAAGAAACTTATTGGCACAATTATGAAATTATATAAAATATTGAATGAAAAATTATGAAAATATAAAAACAGAAGTCTATAACTAAAATGAAACTAAATTAAAAACACACACATAAATTAATAATTTATGGCAGAATGTTAGAAAAATATAAACAAAAACTTTATTTTTTAAATTTTATATCTTAACATAAATATGTATTAATATGTTTTTATGAGGCGCAAATTAGAAAAAATAAATCAAACACGCTAATAAATGCTATTTTGTTTTACATACAAATTCGTAAAAAAATATTTCTACAAACATACATAAATTATAAAATTAAAATATTGAATATATTATTAGTAACGAACTATAGTAATCATTAATTATACTTAACAAAACTCATAATTCACCCATACTTGTAGACTCATTCATACAGATACATACAGTGTAATACAGTGAGTGACAAAGAAATTCGTTCTCCAATTAAAACAGAAAATAACAATAGATTTTTCAGGATCTCATAATATTTCAAAGATAATGTTCATAGTCAACAATGTTTATTTGTACTAATTACTTATTTATGAGCAACACTCATGATATCGTATGAATCACTTTAATCAGGCAAAAATAAATGATCTTTAAGTATTTTTGTTTGGGGCGAATTTTAGATCGGATGTATCTTTCGACAGTGATTCTAAAAACAAACACTCGACTTTCTCCTTCTGAACTAGAACTGAATTAGAACTGAACTAGAACTGAAATGAACTGAACTAGAACTGAAATGAACTAGAACTGAACTAGAACTGAACTAGAACTGAACTAGAACTGAACTAGAACTGAACTAGAACTGAACTAGAACTGAACTAGAACTGAACTAGAACTGAACTAGAACTGAACTAGAACTGAACTAGAACTGAACTAGAACTGAACTAGAACTGAACTAGAACTGAACTAGAACTGAACTAGAACTGAACTAGAACTGAACTAGAACTGAACTAGAACTGAACTAGAACTGAACTAGAACTGAACTAGAACTGAACTAGAACTGAACTAGAACTGAACTAGAACTGAACTAGAACTGAACTAGAACTGAACTAGAACTGAACTAGAACTGAACTAGAACTGAACTAGAACTGAACTAGAACTGAACTAGAACTGAACTAGAACTGAACTAGAACTGAACTAGAACTGAACTAGAACTGAACTAGAACTGAACTAGAACTGAACTAGAACTGAACTAGAACTGAACTAGAACTGAACTAGAACTGAACTAGAACTGAACTAGAACTGAACTAGAACTGAACTAGAACTGAACTAGAACTGAACTAGAACTGAACTAGAACTGAACTAGAACTACTGAAACTAGAAACTGAACTAGAACTGAACTAGAACTGAACTAGAACTGAACTAGAACTGAACTAGAACTGAACTAGAACTGAACTAGAACTGAACTAGAACTGAACTAGAACTGAACTAGAACTGAACTAGAACTGAACTAGAACTGAACTAGAACTGAACTAGAACTGAACTAGAACTGAACTAGAACTGAACTAGAACTGAACTAGAACTGAACTAGAACTGAACTAGAACTGAACTAGAACTGAACTAGATTTGAACTAGATTTGAACTAGATTTGAACTAGAACTGAACTAGAACTGAACTAGAACTGAACTAGAACTGAACTAGAACTGAACTACGACTGAACTAGAACTGAACTAGAACTGATCTAGAACTGAACTAGAACTGAACTGAACTAGAACTGAACTAGAACTGAACTGAACTAGAACTGAACTAGAACTGAACTAGAACTGAACTAGAACTGAACTAGAACTGAACTAGAACTGAACTAGAACTGAACTAGAACTGAACTAGAACTGAACTAGAACTGAACTAGAACTGAACTAGAACTGACTGAACTAGAACTGAACTAGAACTGAACTAGAACTGAACTAGAACTGAACTAGAAACTGAACTAGAACTGAACTAGAACTGAACTAGAACTGAACTAGAACTGAACTAGAACTGAACTAGAACTGAACTAGAACTGAACTAGAACTGAACTAGAACTGAACTAGAACTTGAACTAGAAACTGAACTAGAACTGAACTAGACTGACTAGAACTGAACTAGAACTGAACTAGAACTGAACTAGAACTGAACTAGAACTGAACTAGAAACTGAACTAGAACTGAACTAGAACTGAACTAGAACTGAACTAGAACTGAACTAGAACTGAACTAGAACTGAACTAGAACTGAACTAGAACTGAACTAGAACTGAACTAGAACTGAACTAGAACTGAACTAGAACTGAACTAGAACTGAACTAGAACTGAACTAGAACTGAACTAGAACTGAACTAGAACTGAACTAGAACTGAACTAGAACTGAACTAGAACTGAACTAGAACTGAACTAGAACTGAACTAGAACTGAACTAGAACTGAACTAGAACTGAACTAGAACTGAACTAGAACTGAACTAGAACTGAACTAGAACTGAACTAGAACTGAACTAGAACTGAACTAGAACTGAACTAGAACTGAACTAGAACTGAACTAGAACTGAACTAGAACTGAACTAGAACTGAACTAGAACTGAACTAGAACTGAACTAGAACTGAACTAGAACTGAACTAGAACTGAACTAGAACTGAACTAGAACTGAACTAGAACTGAACTAGAACTGAACTAGAACTGAACTAGAACTGAACTAGAACTGAACTAGAACTGAACTAGAACTGAACTAGAACTGAACTAGAACTGAACTAGAACTGAACTAGAACTGAACTAGAACTGAACTAGAACTGAACTAGAACTGAACTAGAACTGAACTAGAACTGAACTAGAACTGAACTAGAACTGAACTAGAACTGAACTAGAACTGAACTAGAACTGAACTAGAACTGAACTAGAACTGAACTAGAACTGAACTAGAACTGAACTAGAACTGAACTAGAAACTGAAACTAGAACTGAACTAGTAACTGACCTAGAAACCTGAACTAGAAACTGAACTAGAACTGAAACTGAACTGAACTAGAAACTGAACTAGAAGTGAACTAGAACTGAACTAGAACTGAAACTAGACACTGAACTCGAAACTGAACTAGAACTGAACTAAAAACGGAACTAGAACTGAACTAGAACTGAACTACGAACTGACCAGAACTGAACTGACTGAACTAGAACTGAACTAGAACTGACTTAGAACTGAACTAGGAACTGAACTAGAACTGAACTGATAACTGAACTAGATTTGAACTAGATTTGAACTAGAACTGAACTAGACTGAACTAGAACTGACTGAGAACTGAACTAGTAAAACAGAACTCAAACTGAACACTAGAACTGAAACTAGAGTTGGACTAGAACTGAAACTAGAACTGAAACTAGAACTGAAAATTCTAAATTTTGTCACTCACTGTATATTTTATTCTACATTCTCAACCTTTCACTCATTTCACAATCGCTCACAGACTACAAAATAATATAGGCATATCAGTCTATATAATCATCTAAAATCTAATAAACAAGTGAACAACAAATAATACCAAAACCAAAAATATATTTATATATTTTTTTCATTTAAACATAATGGTTTCATAAACTATAATTTACCTGGCGGGTAGTATCAATGCATCAAATTCCGTTGATAAATGTCGTCGTATTATATTCTTCGAGGGTGGTATACCCAGTGCTGTTGCCATTGTATCGCCCGAAAATGATGGTTCTAAAACAACTAATCCACCATGAACACCGCTATCTGTAATTGAATACAATGGAAATGTAATAAATGTAAAATGAACAGTTTATGCTAATCATGATTATTTAAGGGAGAAAAACATAATATTTAATACAGTGCTAAAAGATTATAAATTTTTGGAAAATTTAGTATGTATGGACAACTGAAACGATGGACGACTGTTATTTGAAGCGGATCAGTTTAAAATAAATCAATTGATGTTTTTGATTTTTTAGTTTTACAGTGTAATTTTGATAATCAAACAACAATGATAGAATTACATTATGTAATTAGAAAACCATTGGAATATACGATTTTATCATTGAAATATTTACATTTGGGTGTTAAATGCTAATAAAACAGATTTTTAATTGAATAGTCAGATTTTGATATTGAGTAAAAATACTGAAACAAATAACCATTTTAGATGTAGTAGTGATTGTAGGTCTAAACAATTTTAAATAGCTTTAAATAGCATAATAATTGCTCAGGCCAATAACAACATAGAAAGAAGCAACCCTAGGACCACTCTTCTAATAAAATCTTTTACCATTCCATACATACCTTTAAGATTATCAGCGTATTCGGCCAAATCAATGGAACGAGCCCAGCGTATGAAACGTTGATTGGTCCACACAATAGGATCTGTGTCAACATTTTTCCGATTGTACACGACGCATAGCCAGAGTTTGTCGATCATATTTAACAATACGTAAAACGTGTATGCCTAAAACCAAAAAAAAAATAAAATCAGATAAAGACCACAAATTCCCCTTTAATAACTCACCATGCACAATGCTGGCTTGATGGAATTTTCTCGTCACCCCCAAAAATTTCTCCAGTTCCTTTTTCGACAGTGTATCCAACATACGCGCGTCGACGAGTGAATGCAAAAATGATTCAGCATACTGAGGCAAACCTATGTCGGGTAACCATTCGGAAGCCACCCATGTGTGTCCCAATTGTGTTATCATGGGATAACGTACCATTTCCGGTCTTCTCTGCTCCTCAATGGCTAAGCGTAACTTTTTACGATGCATAGGATGGGCTAAACCAAGACCAGCTTCAAGCTCTATGTCATTTAATTCCAATAAAACTTTACCGCTTTTAACATTTTTCCGAACAGCGTGTGCTGTATTGTGGCATACCCGAGCGCAACTTCTAGCCAGGCTAAAACTTGTGAGGCACGCCATCTTTCCATGGGTATTGAGAAGCTTCACGCAACAGACGTAACTTTTCGGCATAACCCTCTTCGGATAGAGGGCTCCAGGAGTAATCATTATCTACAATAAGGACAATAATTTATGATTATATAAATGATAAAAAATATTTGCTATTTACATTCGGTGGCTCCATCTGCTGAGAGGGCTTTTTTTTATTTCTGGATCTAGCAAAAACTCTCGATATACTACCCCAGGTACCACCGCGGCCATTGCGTGCACCTAAGGCAGCATTGCTAGATTTTGGAGCAAATTTTCTAGCAACAGCTCCAGGGCCATCAGAATCAACAGGAGAGCCCAGTTGTTCCACAGATCTGGAATAATGGAATAAATTAGTAGAACTAGAAATAAACCGGAAAAACTTTTCAAACTAGAACTGAACTAGAACTAAACTAGAACTGAACTAGAACTGAACTAGAACTGAACTAGAACTGAACTAGAACTGAACTAGAACTGAACTAGAACTGAACTAGAACTGACTGAACTAGAACTGAACTAGAACTGAACTAGAACTGAACTAGAACTGAACTAGAACTGAACTAGAACTGAACTAGAACTGAAAGAACTGAACTAGAACTGAACTAGAACTGAACTAGAACTGAACTAGAACTGAACTAGAACTGAACTAGAACTGAACTAGAACTGAACTAGAACTGAACTAGAACTGAACTAGAACTGAACTAGAACTGAACTAGAACTGAACTAGAACTGAACTAGAACTGAACTAGAACTGAACTAGAACTGAACTAGAACTGAACTAGAACTGAACTAGAACTGAACTAGAACTGAACTAGAACTGAACTAGAACTGAACTAGAACTGAACTAGAACTGAACTAGAACTGAACTAGAACTGAACTAGAACTGAACTAGAACTGAACTAGAACTGAACTAGAACTGACTAGAACTGAACTAGAACTGATGTAGAACTGAACTAGAACTGAACTAGAACTGAACTAGAACTGAACTAGAACTGAACTAGAACTGAATTAGAACTGAATTAGAACTGAACTAGAACTGAACTAGAACTGAACTAGAACTGAACTAGAACTGAACTAGAACTGAACTAGAACTGAACTAGAACTGAACTAGAAACTGAACTAGAACTGAACTAGAACTGAACTAGAACTGAACTAGAACTGAACTAGAACTGAACTAGAACTGAACTAGAACTGAACTAGAACTGAACTAGAACTGAACTAGAACTGAACTAGAACTGAACTAGAACTGAACTAGAACTGAACTAGAACTGAACTAGAACTGAACTAGAACTGAACTAGAACTGAACTAGAACTGACTAGAACTGAACTAGAACTGAACTAGAACTGAACTAGAACTGAACTAGAACTGAACTAGAACTGAACTAGAACTGAACTAGAACTGAACTAGAACTGAACTAGAACTGAACTAGAACTGAACTAGAACTGAACTAGAACTGAACTAGAACTGAACTAGAACTGAACTAGAACTGAACTAGAACTGAACTAGAACTGAACTAGAAACTGAACTAGAACTGAACTAGAGCTGAACTAGAACTGAACTAGAACTGAACTAGAACTGAACTAGAACTGAACTAGAACTGAACTAGAACTGAACTAGAACTGAACTAGAACTGAACTAGACTGAACTAGAACTGAACTAGAACTGAACTAGAACTGAACTAGAACGAACTAGAACTGAACTAGAACTGAATAGAATTGAACTAGAACCTGAACTAGAACTGAACTAGAACTGAACTCGAACTGACTAGAACTGAACTAGAACTGAACTAGAACTGAACTAGAACTGAACTAGAAACTGAACTAGAACTGAACTAGAATGAACTAGAACTGAACTAGAAACTGAACTAGAATGAACTAGAACTGAACTAGAATGAACTAGAACTGAACTAGAACTGAACTAGAACTGAACTAGAACTGAACTAGAACTGAACTAGAACTGAACTAGAACTGAACTAGAACTGAACTCGGAACTGAACTAGAACTGAACTAGAACTGAACTAGAACTGAACTAGAACTGAACTAGAACTGAAATAGAACTGAACTAGAACTGAACTAGAACTGAACTAGAACTGAACTAGAACTGAACTAGAACTGAACTTGAAACTGAACTGAACTAGAACTATGAATAGAACTAGAACTGAACTGAACTAGAATGAACTTGAACTAGAACTGAACTAGAACTGAACTAGAACTGAACTAGAACTGAACTAGAACTGAACTAGAACTGAACTAGAACTGAACTAGAACTGAACTAGAACTGAACTAGAACTGAACTAGAACTGAACTAGAACTGAACTAGAACTGGACTAGAACTGAACTAGAACTGAACTAGAACTGAACTAGAACTGAACTAGAACTGAACTAGAACTGAACTAGAACTGAACTAAAACTGAACTAGAACTGAACAAGAATTGATATATGACTGAACTTGATCTGATCCCTCTTCTTATAGGCGTCATAAATGGAAAGCTTACCTGGAGTATGCAGCTGAATTTAATGGAGATAACGTAGGACTCCTCTCTTTAGGGGTACCATCTATAAATTTACGTGTTTAAGAATTAATCTTTAAAAGAAAGTATTTGTAATTACTTACACTGATACATATTTTGACTAGATACCAATGATATACTATCCGGATCGACTGTAATGCAGGGACCATTATCAGATATACCATCACTAAAGTTAATGTCACCACCAGTACTCTCACGATCACTGTTATTTCTCAGCACTGAATCATTTGAACATGAATTACGATCGCCCGCCGTGTTACCCGAACTATTACTAAAGGCCGACAAAGAATTTGAATTGCCACGCCCGCTATCATCGTTACGATAATTCACCACTCCGGCACTGCTCGATGGCATTTGATTTAGTAAACCAGATGCTGCAGAAGGAGGTGTGAGAGGAGCAAAAGACAGAAGACTTTCTTGATCCGACATACAACCCGACATTTGTCTCTGTAATTGTTCTTGTAGTTTTTGCAGCTGTAAATCTCTTGCACTCAATTGTTGAGCCAAAGCCAATGACCGTTCAGCTTCATCTCTGGCCTGTTTCAATAGCTGCCATCTTTCACGCTCACGATCACCCGAAAGTTTGGCATTGTTGCTTTCTGATTCTCTTACTCGATCCTGATAGTTACGTATAAAATCTCTTAGTTCTTGTTCTTTTTCCTGCAGTGAGACGCACAATTGTTTTACTTGTCCCACTAATTCATTTTTATCACTTCTCAGTTTTTTTCTCTCGATGCGCAGCGACATCAATTGATTTTTAGCCGAACGTAATTCCTGTTCCAAACGATCAATTCTCTGTTGAGTATTAGAACCACTGCCGTCTGTAGATTGTCCATCGCCACAGCTATTTGAATCGGAAAGATCTATACCACCCACCGCACCTTCGGGAGAGTTTTCAAGCAGTTTTCGTAGACGGTGAATCTCGGTGTTTAGTCGTTCGTTTTTCTTCGCGTAATTTTGTCGGAGAATCTGAAAAGTGAAATAAATTAGCAACAGTAATTCTGAAGGACTACAACACTTTATTTAACGAAAAATTGCTTTCAAGCATACAATTAAAAGTAAAAAGCAAGCACTTTATATTTAACTTAAAAATTTTACTATTTATTTTTATTTGTCTTATTTATTTACACATTTTTCCAGTTTTCCTATGACTTTAATACCATTAAATAAAGCAAAACAAAAATTGCAAATATTTTCCAAGTAAATGATTAATTAAAAGTTTCCTACATTAAGAAAATAATATATAATACAAACTATAACAACACTAACCAACAACAGGAAGTTATATCTTAAATACCAACAACAAATAAGCCAACTTGAAAAAAACTTCAAGTAAATAAACTTCCACTATTCGAACAAAAAGTTAATTGGCATATAAAAACATTAAAGCAAAGACTTTAACATTTTCTGAGACTATATGCTGTAGTCTAGTCTCTTGTCTCGTCTAGAGTCTAGTCTACTCTATAGTCTAGTCTCTAGTCTCCTCTAGAATCTAGTCTACTCTATAGTCTAGTCTCTAGTCTAATCTACTCTATAGTCTAGTCTCTAGTCTCGTCTACTAGTCTCGTCTAGTCTAGTCTAGTCTATGTCTAGTCTAAGTCTAGTCTATAGTCTAGTCTATAGTCTAGTCTATAGTCTAGTCTATAGTCTAGTCTATAGTCTAGTCTATAGTCTAGTCTATAGTCTAGTCTATAGTCTAGTCTATAGTCTAGTCTATAGTCTAGTCTATAGTCTAGTCTATAGTCTAGTCTATAGTCTAGTCTATAGTCTAGTCTATAGTCTAGTCTATAGTCTAGTCTATAGTCTAGTCTATAGTCTAGTCTATAGTCTAGTCTATAGTCTAGTCTATAGTCTAGTCTATAGTCTAGTCTATAGTCTAGTCTATAGTCTAGTCTATAGTCTAGTCTATAGTCTAGTCTATAGTCTAGTCTATAGTCTAGTCTATTCTAGTCTATAGTCTAGTCTATAGTCTAGTCTATAGTCTAGTCTATAGTCTAGTCTATAGTCTAGTCTATAGTCTAGTCTATAGTCTAGTCTATAGTCTAGTCTATAGTCTAGTCTATTCTAGTCTATAGTCTAGTCTATAGTCTAGTCTATAGTCTAGTCTATAGTCTAGTCTATAGTCTAGTCTATAGTCTAGTCTATGGTCTAGTCTATAGTCTAGTCTATAGTCTAGTCTATAGTCTAGTCTATAGTCTAGTCTATAGTCTAGTCTATAGTCTAGTCTATAGTCTAGTCTATAGTCTAGTCTATAGTCTAGTCTATAGTCTAGTCTATAGTCTAGTCTATAGTCTAGTCTATAGTCTAGTCTATAGTCTAGTCTATAGTCTAGTCTATAGTCTAGTCTATAGTCTAGTCTATAGTCTAGTCTATAGTCTAGTCTATAGTCTAGTCTATAGTCTAGTCTATAGTCTAGTCTATAGTCTAGTCTATAGTCTAGTCTATAGTCTAGTCTATAGTCTAGTCTATAGTCTAGTCTATAGTCTAGTCTATAGTCTAGTCTATAGTCTAGTCTATAGTCTAGTCTATAGTCTAGTCTATAGTCTAGTCTATAGTCTAGTCTATAGTCTAGTCTATAGTCTAGTCTATAGTCTAGTCTATAGTCTAGTCTATAGTCTAGTCTATAGTCTAGTCTATAGTCTAGTCTATAGTCTAGTCTATAGTCTAGTCTATAGTCTAGTCTATAGTCTAGTCTATAGTCTAGTCTAGTCTAGTCTATAGTCTAGTCTATAGTCTAGTCTATAGTCTAGTCTATAGTCTAGTCTATAGTCTAGTCTATAGTCTAGTCTATAGTCTAGTCTATAGTCTAGTCTATAGTCTAGTCTATAGTCTAGTCTATAGTCTAGTCTATAGTCTAGTCTATAGTCTAGTCTATAGTCTAGTCTATAGTCTAGTCTATAGTCTAGTCTATAGTCTAGTCTATAGTCTAGTCTATAGTCTAGTCTATAGTCTAGTCTATAGTCTAGTCTATAGTCTAGTCTATAGTCTAGTCTATAGTCTAGTCTATAGTCTAGTCTATAGTCTAGTCTATAGTCTAGTCTATAGTCTAGTCTATAGTCTAGTCTATAGTCTAGTCTATAGTCTAGTCTATAGTCAAGTCTATAGTCTAGTCTATAGTCTAGTCTATAGTCTAGTCTATAGTCTAGTCTATAGTCTAGTCTATAGTCTAGTCTATAGTCTAGTCTATAGTCTAGTCTATAGTCTAGTCTATAGTTTAGTCTATAGTCTAGTCTATAGTCTAGTCTATAGTCTAATCTATAGTCTAGTCTACAGTCTAGTCTAGTCTATAATCTAGTCTATAATCTAGTCTATAGTCTAGTCTATAGTCTAGTCTATAGGCTAGTCTATTCTCTAGTCTATAGTCTAGTCTATAGTTTAATCTATGGTCTATGCTATAGTCTAGTCTCTAGTCGCTTCTATAGTCTTTTCTATAGTGTATGTATTCTATAGTCATTTCTATAGTCGTTTCTTTAGTCTATTATATAGTCTAATTTAAGGTTCATTGTCCAGCGTATAGAAAAGTCGTATAAATTTTACATTTAATTTATAGCAAAAACAACATTTTTTTGTCATTCACTAAATTCCAAAAATTCCACTCAACTTAAAAAGTAAGCAACAAGTTATGTTCAAGTGTAGTGGCGTTATTGTGTTGCCTTTTCTCTCTTTTTAATTAGTTTTGAATGCTATACTTGTGAATATTTTGTGTTACAACAACTTCGTACAACTAATTAATGAACACTTGCAACCAAACCCAAATCCATAACAAAAGAGGGTGAAAAAATACAAAAAGTATGTAAATTACTGGTATTACGATAAATTTTAAGTTAAAGAATGAATAAGCGTTGAAGCTAAGCAACAGCAACAGCAACTAGTACTATAGTTACTGTAATTTTATCTTAAAGAGAAAACTATAAAAATATTTAGGTTTCGTTGGAAAGTTGAGATTTAATTCAGGTATTTATACGAAGAATTATAAATATGCATAAAAAGTTAGTTTCAGTAAAAAAAGAAAGCAGATTATTTTACCTATATAGTACAGTGATGTGGTAGTAACTGCCTGTCCCGTCCATGGACTGATATTTGTTTCTAATGTGACCTCCTAATATGTAATCTAAATAAAGAATGCAATCTATGTATGTCAGGTCTGTGTTGCCATTATATCTATATGTGTTACAAAGTAAACACTAACTAAAACATGTTGAACATTATTTTTCAGATATCAATAAGAAAAATATATCAAAGATGAGAATTGTCCCTTAGAAATACTGAATAGAAGCAACACAATAAGGAATTAATTAAAAATTTTGATTGTAAGATTAATTTTTTTTTAACTCTCCACACTGGTCTCAGAGCATTCCTAATCATTAAATATGCAACAAACTGTTAAATGTTTATAACATAGAGGTGGTAGAGGCGACAATGAAAAATGTGGCTTTTCTTTGCTACATATGCTTTAGTTAATTTAACATACTAGTCTAGTCATACTATAGACTAGGCTATTGTCCAGACTATAGTGTAGTCTAAAGTCTAGACTATATACCAGACTATAGTCTAGTCTATAGTCCAGACTATAGTCTAGTCTATAGTCCAGACTATAGTCCAGACTATATTATATTCTATAGTCTAGTCTACAGTCCAGACTATAGTCTAGTCTATAGTCGAGACTATATACCAGACTACAGTCTAGTCTATAGTCCAGACTATATTATATTCTGGAGTCTAGTCTATAGTCCAGGCTATAGTCTAGTCTATAGTCGAGACTATAGTCTACTCTATAGTCGAGACTATAATCTATTCTATAATCCAGACTGTAGTCTATAGTCCAGACTATAGTCTCGGCAATAGTCCAGACTATATTCTCGTCAATAGTCCAGACTATAGTCTCGTCAATAGTCCAGACTATAGTCTAGTCTATAGGCCAGACTATAGTCTGGTCTAGACTATAGTCTGGTCTATAGTCCAGACTATAGTCTAGTCTATAGCCCAGACTATAGTCTATTCTATAGTCCAGACTATAATCTAGTCTATAGTCCAGACTATAGTCTAGTCTATAGTCCAGGCTATAGTCTAGTCTATAGTGCAGATTATAGTCTATTCTATAGTGCAGATTATAGTCTAGTCTATAGTCTAGACTATAATCTAGTCAATAGTCCATACTATAGTCTAGTCTATAGTCCAGACTATAGTCTAGTCTATAGTCCAGACTCTAGTCTAGTCTATAGTCCAGACTATAGTCTAGTCTATAGTCCTGACTATAGTCCTGACTATAGTAAAGTCTATAGTCCTGGCTATAGTAAAGTCTATAGTCCTGGCTATAGTCTAGTATATAAAGAAGTCTATAGTCCAGACTGTAGTCTAGTTTATAGTTCAGACTATAGTCAAGTCTATAGTCCTGACTATATTCTAGTCTATAGTCCAGTCTATAGTCCAGTCTATAGTCCAGTCTATAGTCCAGTCTATAGTCCAGTCTATAGTCCAGACTATAGTCCAGTCTATAGTCCAGTCTATAGTCCAGACTATAGTCCAGTCTATAGTCCAGTCTATAGTCCAGACTATAGTCCAGTCTATAGTCCAGACTATAGTCCAGTCTATTGTCCAGACTATAGTCCAGTCTATAGTCCAGACTATAGTCCAGTCTAAAGTCCAGACTATTGTCTAGTCTATAGTCCAGACTATAGTCTAGTCTATAGTCCAGACTATAGTCTAGTCTATAGTCCAGACTATAGTCTAGTCTATAGTCCAGACTATAGTCTAGTCTATAGTCCAGACTTTAGTCTAGTCTATAGTCCAGACTATAGTCTAGTCTATAGTCCAGACTATAGTCTAATCTATAGTCCAGACTATAGTCTAGTCTATAGTCCAGACTGTAGTCTAGTCTATAGTCCAGACTATTCTAGTCTATAGTCCGGACTATAATATGGTCTATAGTCCAGACTATAGACTTTTCTATAGTCCAGACTATTCCAGGA